TACCCTTAAAATTACGAAATCAATGAGTATATGATTGCATACAGTATGATTCAAAAGATCTTTATGGGTTGAATCTGTTATTACACTGTATTTGTAAAATAAATTCTGGAAATATAAATGAATATAAACAGTAATGAATATAAACAGAAATGACATAAACCAATTCGAGCCCACTGAATTCACAGTGTTTCCTTAAGGAATTTAATCCCCTCCTAGTACCCAAGGTTATGGATTATTTCCTCCCAGGATAGAACGAATTACACACTGGTGTAGTGGTACTTCAAACCCCAGTGTTTCAGCGAACACAAAGTTCGGTAGCAAATCACACTTACTTTTTGTTTTGTTTTGATGCTAAAAGTATGCAGAAGAAGGAGAGGAAACTCAGAAAATTGTAGTTAAAATTCTGAGCAGAATAGTGTTGTATTTATAGCCAAAGTTGGGTCTCTTCAGAATGGCTGTTTATGCAAAACGCCCACAACATAAATGCCATTACATAAATGGCCATTTACTCAATAATAAAGAGGGAAAATAAAGAGGGAAAATTGAAGAGGGTAGTTACTTTTCTGTTACCAAAACAGAAAAACGGATTGGATTTAATATTAATATTTAATATTAATATTTTGTTATTAAACCAAATATTTAATAACATTTCTGTTAATATTTTACTATTAACAAATAAATTTGGTCCAAAAAGTTAATCAATCAATCGATCATTTGACCAAATCCAAATCCAAATCCAAATCCGAAGCCGTAGCCGTAGCCGAAGCCGAAGCCGAGCCGAGCGAGCGACGACGACGACGGCGCGAGGCTTGCCTTCTTCTCAACTCTTTAAGAGCTAGAAGAAGAGCAATTGCTTATATACCCATAAAAAACCTCTTCCTCTTCCAATATGGGACAATGCCCATTTGCCAAGGGAGGGGGAACTTAAAATTTCACTCAAAAATTTCATTTCCCTCCATTTCCCATTCACCCTCTTTTAAGTATTTAATATATTAATTAAATACCTTAAAAAACCAACAATCCCCCACATGAATGGGGAATGGCTATATCACGGAAGTATGCATGAAAAACTGTGTGATTCACAAGTAAGGATTAATTGCATCTGGATAAGTAGGTTTCCCTTTGAACTTTCCGTAGTGAACTTATGTCGGATATACTCGATCAATCGGTAGATTTGATATCCTTGAACCGTCGAACTTTAGTGTATACCTAGACAACCACAAGTCACACAACCAACCCTTAACCGTCTTTGGTTCTCATTGTTGTGTTCGTTTCAGCCATGAACACCGCCTGGTTTCATAAGTGCGTAGAGAACTGGCCTTGCTGTGTTCTCCTTGAAGCGGCTAACACTTCACACTTACATAGGTGATTCCTAAACGTGTCATCCCGTAGATACACTATTTGATATACCCTGTATCAAATTTAGAAATCATTAAAAAGCCTTAATGCTTTATCCTTGGTACTGAACATTGTCTCATCACGAGAATGGACCAAAAGTTTAGTTGACAATGTTGAACCGTCATAAATGACTTTGTTTGATCTCCTTGAACCTAGATCTTGGGATCTCCAGTCTTCTAGGTAGAGTTACCGCCACTATGACTTGTTCTCGGCCACAGTCCCATTCCCCTTGATGACTTCTCAACTACCTCTCTAGTTAGGCCTTTTGTAAGTGGATCCGACACATTATCACTTGACTTTACATAGTCAATCGTGATAATTCCTCTAGAGAGTAATTGTCTAACGGNGTATAGCAGAAGAAGGAGAGGAAACTCAGAAAATTGTAGTTAAAATTCTGAGCAGAATAGTGTTGTATTTATAGCCAAAGTTGGGTCTCTTCAGAATGGCTGTTTATGCAAAACGCCCACAACATAAATGCCATTACATAAATGGCCATTTACTCAATAATAAAGAGGGAAAATAAAGAGGGAAAATTGAAGAGGGTAGTTACTTTTCTGTTACCAAAACAGAAAAACGGATTGAATTTAATATTAATATTTAATATTAATATTTTGTTATTAAACCAAATATTTAATAACATTTCTGTTAATATTTTACTATTAACAAATAAATTTGGTCCAAAAAGTTAATCAATCAATCATTTGACCAAATCCGAAGCCGAAGCCGAAGCCGAAGCCGAGCCGAGCGAGCGACGACGACGGCGTGAGGCTTGCCTTCTTCTCAACTCTTTAAGAGCTAGAAGAAGAGCAATTGCTTATATACCAATAAAAAACCTCTTCCTCTTCCAATATGGGACAATGCCCATTTGCCAAGGGAGGGGGAACTTAAAATTTCACTCAAAAATTTCATTTCCCTCCATTTCCCATTCACCCTCTTTTAAGTATTTAATATATTAATTAAATATCTTAAAAAACCAACAGAATTTTCTACAGGGAAAATAGAAAGACGCTCAACGACAACATATAATATATGAACAAACAAATACAAACACTTCTGAGTTCTGACTATGTTTTATATATAGTCCTCTTCAATTTCCGCAGTCTCTTACTGCATATGCACAAAGCATCCTATAGTCTAATCTACCTACATACAAAATCTTATGATACTATGTGTTGCACACAATTAATGATTAAATACATGTGGGATAATTCAAGTTTATTTTTTCAAAATGTCTAAGAAATTATACATAAAATAAAAAATGGTAACAAGGTGTGAAAAACACAACTAAAAGTTTTAATATGACTCATTCGATTTCGCCCAAAATAAATATAATCAAGCTCCAAATAAAAATGTTGCCACCGATGAACATGGATGAATCAATATGAACTTCACTTCTTTATTTATATGAGGAAACAAACTAGACGAATAAAACTAAAATTACTCAGAGAATTTTCAAGTCCATTAAAGATTTCGTGATCAGTTACCGTTTTCTTATCGATTTAGTCTATATAGAAAATTTATGAAGGAAAATTAATAATTGAACCTATCTTTTGACCAGACCTTTGCTCTAGTTATAGGATACACAAATTAAACAGGACATATAGAATTAAAAAATTCCTTAGTCATTACAAAATAAAAAATAGAAGAACACACACAATAATTCATACCCTTCAAGAAAGACAAAGAAAATAGGTACTCGAGCTATCTTCACTCTAAAAGATACTTATGCTATCTTCACTCTAGTGCTCGAAAGAATCTGCAGAATGTATAAGCGTTAATAAATTCAATAGATCATGAATAATAGAAAATCAACCAATAAATCAATTTCATAATCAAGACGTTTTCACATATCAATACTTGGTAGTCACAAAAGTTGTATATGAAAAATATACAAGAGCTTCACATAGACAAAAATCAGCCTTTATGCTATAACACAAGAGAAACAAAAATACAAAACAAACAAAGATATATAAATAAAATAAAGATCCAAACTTTACGAACCTGACCAAGAAAGCATGTAGCGACGATTTGGTCGGAGGCCAACTCTAACTTGCATTAAAATACTTGTAATAGTTTACATGTTAGATTTTGATTTGGATTCAACAATAGCTCGCTATGAATCCCATTCTGATTATGAGGCCGTAAGAAACATACAATAAATTTTTGGTATTTGTATTGAAATTGTTCAAAAAGGCAACGTTTATTTAGAATTCTATTTTTGGTTAAGTAAAATATTATGCTACCAAAGGAAAAAAAGGACTCTTAACTTAAAAGAAATGGTAAGAATTCTTAAATATTAGGATAATAATTAAATGACTATTTTGTCTATTGCAAACTCTACTTTTTAAGGGTAAAAAAGGCGAATGACATTGCTAAAGGCATTCGTGCTTTTAATATAGTATAGTATAGATAGATAGATAGATAAAATAAATAAATAAATAAACAAGTGGGGTTAGTGTTCGGATTTGGAAATATGAATGCAATCAATCAATTGGAGCGACTGGGATGTTAGTGTTAGTGCATGTGGAGGAAAGAGGAGCTTTGATAAAATGATTCAAATGGTTCTCTGTCGCTTGTGTATGTCTTCATTTGTTGGATCAAGTATAATTGTTTGTAAAAGATCTCAGCCCTATCCATATCATGCTTTCTATCATTTTCTTTTTTTCCTCTTATTTCTAATAGAATTGGGTTTTTTTTGCTCCCTTCTCATAGCCGTTTTCCTTCTTTTGATCAGCCAAATGTCATTAGTTGTGGTTTCTGTGCTTTCCTGCGAGTATCACGCCCCAAATTAGGCGGAGCGTGACTGGCACCCGATGCTGTGAACTCTTTAATCATATTCATGACATACGTGCATATGAACTCTTTAAACAAATTTAAATCTTTAACATAAAACATTTGGCTCGCATATCCATCATATATCAAAATCATAACTTCACCGAAAACTCATAATCATAGTGCGGAAATAAATCATAACTCAAGACATCTACATGAGAAGTAAAATGAGAATTCTCAAGTACATAGCTAAACCTCCCGCAATGTGTCAATGAAACCTCCAAGAACGTACATGAAAATAGTGGCACGAGACAAGTCCACGGCTCATCCAAAAAAACTGTCTAAATTTTTTTCGAATAGTATTCCTCGACGGCTCAACCTAATCACTATAGCCAAATTGACATAACAGAGGAGGGTGAGGGAAAATGATTGCAGAGGAAAGGTTTTTTTTTTCTTTTTTTTTTTTTTGTGCCGTTTGTAAGAGGTAGATGAGGAAAGGTGGAGTTGAGGAATCCAAGCCAGATGTTTAAGCCCCTTGAGTAGTTGCAAGCATAAGATCTTTTATTAGTGAAAACATTAATAATTCTCTGAAAATTAACCACTAATGATATTTGGTCAATTAAATCTTTCCGACCTTGTTAACATTTCTTATCTCAAACTTGTGTGTGCATGCTTTTACCTGCCTTAGTATTTAATTCTGATTTAGGGCACTCTATTTTCTGAATCTTCGCTTTCTTGTGTCTATCCACCATTAGATCTCGGAGATTTGGTGATGTTATTTCTATGAAATGGATTCTTTGTGTTCTTTCTTTCTTTTTTTGTAAAAAACAATGTGTGCTGTTCTTTTGACACGAATAAGCTCTAATTTTTTCAGGACGGCATATGATTTAAACCTTAATGATGATAGCTGGTCTCAAAATGTGTTTGACATTGTCGCTGGCAACACATCCATGTCATGGGAAAGGCTGGATGCGTGAGTTCTCATATTATTTGTGGTATGATGGTATCTGACAATTAAGTATCTTTAAATTTCTCTTTATCGTACTTGTTTATCTGATGTCAGAGGAACTGTTTTCTCGCATTCCTTTGAGTTGGAGGCTAAGACCAAAACAGTGTTTTATGGTGCACCAGCAGTTATAACATTCCGCATCCCCACAAAGGCTGCTCTGCAGGTTTGACATTCTCATCTGTTTCTTGACATGCTTCTACCTGTTTGGTTGATATGGATGGTGTTGGATCTTAAATGTTTTTGTTCTAGGAGGCATACTCAACTCCAATCCTTCCTCTTGACATACTAGCTGATAGACCTCCTGAGAAAAAGTTTGATTGGGTAAGCTTAAGTACTAGTTGCAGCTGCACACGGCCACCTAAATATAGTTTAACTGGTCGTTGTTTCTTATAATGACTTCCTTTAATTTATTTTATTTTTCTTGCATGGATATCTTACACTGCTGGCGAAAATTCACAGGCTAAGGTATGATTTCTTCTTGTATTATTATTGGTTTTGAGAATGATTACAATCATGTAAAACTAGAAATCGATTTGGGCAAGAAAGAAAGAAGATGAACAAGACGAGAGGGAGCGGGGAGAAGAGATACTTATCTGGAAACAAAGTTTTTTCCATTTTTGGGCATCAAAGACATTTATTTTCCTTCTTTTGTTGCATTTTTTGGCTCCAAAACCACATGTCATATTTTTATTCGACTAGTTGCCATGTCAGCCACGAGTCAACTCCATGCATTTTGTTTCATTTACAATTCGCTAGTGAAGGGTTTAATAGGTTCATATCTGCCAACTTTAGGTGTTCAATAGGTCGAATCCTAAGATAAGATAGAAATTGGTGCCAAGTTTAAGGAAACGCTGATGTATTTGGCTGCAAATTTTAAAAGTAAACTGCATGGTGTAGAAAATTTGAGGACAATGTGAGATATGGAGTACAGAGTCTCATTTCATGATGGCTTCGATGGAAAGTTTTAAGAATTAGGTCTTAACTTTTACCTGTCTTTTTTTTTTTTTTTTTTTTTGCAGAGTTTATTGGCAAAATATGGATCCTTGATTTCTGTGGTCTCAATTGTGGTTATGTTTGTATACCTGGTGGCAATCCCATCAAAATCCAGTGTTGCAAAGGGAAACAAAAAGAAGCGCTGAATGTTGGTTCCACAACTTGGTGTTTATTCAAGCAAGGATGCATATCAAGTTGGACACCTTCAGTTTTAGTTCTTTCGCGCCGTAGGTATCACAGGTTACCAGTTTAGATTTACACTGTAACGTCTGAGGAATTGATCAGTAAACTGAATTGATTTTCTCCGTAGATTTCTAGGTTACAGATTCACTGTAAGAGAATGTTGAACATAGTTTTAGTCCTTGAACAATAGATCAGTCGCCTGTTTCTTGAGCAGCAACGATTCATTTTCTTATGGTTCCTTCCTGTGCTTTTCTTTTTTAATGAGGTTGAGGTGCAAAGTGTTTTGCTTGTCCAAATGGTAGGTTTTTTAACAATAATTATCTGATAGAGCAGATTAGGTTTGAGTAAGACTTGGCCTTTCTATGACCTGCAAAAGGTAATCGCTGGAGATGCGAGCTTATTCATATGCGTATTGCATTTAAGTGCTCTACTTAAAGATCTAATGTAGATGTGTTACAAAACCTTTCTCTGATTAAAAAGTACCTTTAAGTCAACGTAGAAAAGTTAAAACTTTTGTCCCTTAAATAATTCATATTACTAGTCTTATCAAGTTAAAAGAGTAGTCAATCTGAAAATTATTACAAATCTTATAGTCGGGCAGAGAGAATTTAGTGTAGAAAGTTAAATATAAAACGCATAAATCTATCCTTATTTTCCTGGCATTGGAGTAAAGGAAGCCGGAAATACGCGAAGAGATCCATACAGCAAGATAAGGAAAAGCCCTATAAATTGTGGATCACCAGATTCAGAAAAGTGATTGGTGGAGACTCCAATGAGTTGGTAGTTGAACTAAGAATACATAACAGTTCATTTGAACAAATTAAAGTTACAAAAGGCAGAGGGAAACAACTCCACCCCCCCCCCCCCAACCCAACCCCCCAAACAGATGCATACATGATCTCTACAATGTCTGAACAAAATCTGGTGCGTCCTTCCTGGGACCAACCAATGTTCGATACAAGTACATCTTCTCGACCTTTTGCCTATCATCAGAGTAAGTGTCTGTCTGGTCGCTCTCGCTGATGATCTCCACATTGAGCCTAGGCATCTTCTGAGCAACAGCCTTGCATGCTCCAAGGGTCACTTGGCAGGACGACATCCAAAGGGATCGCATTGTCTCATACTTCCCCACGTCCGCCAGAAGTGCCACATTACCAAAAGGGCTATCCCTGATCTCAAGCTTTTTCATTTTCTTGCACCCGTTCAACACATATAGCATCCCCTTGTCACTATCTCCAGCAAAGGCTATGGAGAGCATCTCAAGCTGCTCAGCATACATTCCTATGTAAAGGAAAACTTGATCAGTTAGAAGACCAGAGACTGACAGCCGCTTGAGGCCTTTGCACGACTGTACAATTGCCCCAAAACCTTCGTCTAGTGGCTGCATGGTAACTGCATCTGGCACAGTTGGGTTAAGAGTGCACAATCTGAAACGAATAAAGTTTGGGCAATTTTTGGCAACAGTTATAAGCGCCGCATTAGTCATCTGCTGGCAGAAATACAACAATGAGTTGAGCTTTGGACAACCAGCTGATATTGCAACCAAGCCCTCTTCAGTTACAGCAGCATGGCCAAATCCTTGAAGGTCAGATGGGAAGACCCTTAATTCCTGCAATTCTTTACAAGTAGAAGCCACAACACCTAGCCCTTTATCTCCAATGGTATCCAGAATCTGTAAAATCAATATTTACCGCGTCAAACAATTGTAGGAAAATAAAGCAACAAGGAAATAATTAAAAGGGGGGCAAAAATATCAACCCATAGGCGCTCTAGTTTTCCGCAGAAACGAATCAGCTTTATAAGTTCAGCACTGTAGATTCCAGGTGCATAGCTCAAGTTCAGGGACGACAAATTCAGGCAAATTGGATAAATAGCAGGCAGGCAGCGAGGAGCAATCTCCAAGAACCCCGACAAGCTCCTAATAGAAGTACACCTCTTCAGAGCATTCTTTAGTTTGTTGTAAGTCTCAGAAACTGGATCACTGATAAAACTCCCTGTCCCCAAGTCCACTAAGTGAGGAGCTTTAATTAAAATCCTTTGAAGAGCATCAAGAGGCACAGTATGATTTAATCTCAGACTTCTTAGGTTTGGACATCTAGCCACTAGCCTCTCAAGAGCTGCCAAGTTAACTTCTCCTTTGAGGCAAGCAAAATTCAAAGAGACAAGAGTAGTGCAGTTGTCTGAAAAACAACTAAGCCACTGTCCTCTGCGATCTTCGACTTCGTTTTCCTGCAAGTCCAACTCCCTTAAAAACCTACAAGAATCAGACAACCAATTTCAGTTAATCATCTGCCCTATGTATCATTAAAATGCATCACAGTTTTGCCTTAACACAAGCTCAAACCATCCTTGATCTCCTCACAGACGTTCTTCACCGAGACATCATGGGTATGAAAATTTGTAGAGAACCAAGGTGCAGCGAAGAAAGGTGTTTACATATCTTACTTCATACGCAGAGCGAGCTATAAAGAAGCTTGCAGCTTTAAGAGACAGTTGATTGCGAATGAACATGACATTTCAACATGAACTACCATGAGCCACCAAAAAGAGAAAGATTTATTCTATTAGAACTTATTAAAGTAGACCGAAGAACAGAACTTTCGTAAACTGTAGACAGTTTAACACCCAATACTAAACAAGCGTGCACAATTTGGTATATTGCTTGGTTAAGAACGAATACCCAGAGAAGCCACAAGGATGAAGAACTGCAGTACTATAGGAAAGCACTCCCGCTACATTGATGCAATTCACGAAAAGCAAACACACATAACAAATGAAACAACAATAAGACAAGTAAGATATAGTAATGCATATATATTATATTAGGCTGAAAGATTTGCTGCGGCAAAGGAATATATACCTGCAATTGGAAGCAATAGCAGCAAGACCATCAGTGGAGAAACCTTCACAGCTAACCAAAATCAAAGACTTGAAATTAGGAAAGGATCGCGAGAGTAGCTCAAGGCTCTCATCCGAAACCACCATCCTCTTCAAACGAAGCTCCTCCAAGTTCACACCACTCGCGGCCATCGCCTCAATCCAAGGGTCAACATAACCTCCCCAATCATGAGGGACCAAATTGAAATCCGCAAAATGGGGCTTCCCTTTTAGGGTAAGCGACCTAAGCCTCGGAAACCTAGCAATCACTCTCTCGGGGCTTACCGCATAACAATTCCCTACAAACACCTTCTCTCTACTGAACCTCTCAACTCTATACCAAGAATTGCAGACCAAAGAGACCGCATTTCGGTCCCTGTGGGAAGTCAAGAAATTGAAGACATGCTCCAACACTTCCTCTGGGAAGTAATTCATCATACACTGACACAAACACATTATTTGATGGTACAACTACCCTTCCAAGATACTTATTAAGTAGAAAAACTTCACATTTTTTAACAAAAACCTAGATCTAACAACAGAGAGAGAATAGATCTAAAGACTTGACCTTTATGGTACTACAAGTAGAGCATTTGGATAGATCTGAAAGGGGAAAAAAATGAAATTCAAGAAATACGATATTAATTAATCAGATAAGGCATATAGTCATCATCACCATCATATATAAAATAATAATAATATTAAGAAACGATGATTAGAGAACAATTTTATGAAGATGAGCAGATCTGAAGTGAAGAACCTACTCAGACAGACAGAGAGACAGAGCTCCCTCCGTGGGAAGTAAATCTCTTATTATTATTATTATCACTCACTCATCAGAGAAGAAACTGTTCTTCTCTCTCTCTCTCTACCCATGTCAATATGATGATAAGATATCTAAGCAAAGTGTTTCACATCATCACCACTCATCAGTCTTCAGGAAAAAAAGGAAGAAAGAGAGAGAAGCGTATCTCTCCTCATCTCTATTGACTAACCAAAGTAGTAGAAGTAGTAAGCTAAATCTTGACTCTGGTTGAGTTAAAAGTAATGATCGGACGGTAGATATATGTCCTTGAGAGCAGAGTAACATGCATGTGTCTTTATCTCAAAAGCAATGCCAGTTTCACAAAATTGGCCATTCCTTTCACCATTTATTTACACGAAATGCCATTTTGTTGATAAGCTTCTCTAACCACAACAGGTTCTTGGCAATGGACTTATAGCCTGTTTGGTGCTAGAAGTGTTTTTTTTTTCCAAGAGTATTTCTTTTCAAATTTGAGGTATTTGACAAAAATATTTAAAGGAAAAGGAAAGAGATGGTTGTGTATGGTCAACCAAAGATTAAGTGGGGATCCTTGACCAAGGATAGAGCACAGAAGCAGGGGAGAAGTTGCTAGCAATGGGGGCATGAGGGAGTACTGGAGACGCAAGTAATATATGGACCACGACTGTGAATTGCATTAGGAAAGCAACTTGAAAGATGTTAGGGGTCTCCAAGGGCTACTCAGGTTGCCACAAAGAGGACTAGTGGTAGAATAAATGTAACACCCTGAATTTTATAAATAAATTATGTGTATTTAGCTGATCTTGTTTTTATTGCTAATATTTTATAAATTTAGTTTTTCTACTTTATTTGATAAAAAAAAAGGTATAAAAAAGACTTCTTTCTTCTAGCCCTTTTATTGGAGAACTCTCAATCCACACAAGTACACCATTCTCCCACTACCATCAAGATCACATTTGGTTATATAAAAGTAGTCTTTATCTTTTGAATATATGTTGGAATGTTATCTTCAAGAATCAAGATGGGTTAAGCTTATTTGAAATCCTAGGTTAAGATTTGTCGAAAAATTCTCTCAAACTTGTGGTAAGCTTCTTGTTCAACATATTTTGGTTAAACTTTTAAGTTTGTTGTTAGAGAATTTAAGATTTTGAAAGTAAGAGATTTAATCCTGTTTTTTAACTGGGCAGCAGTTAGTATTTTGAGCGTAAATTTTTCTCTAAAACTCGAATTGTAGTTCTTCAAAATTCTATAGAAAAATATGACATAGATCTACAATTGTTATGAAGACCAAAAATGGCTAGTTCTACTATCTACTATGTCAAAAGGGGGCTGAAATACAAGGCAGAGTTGCTGTAAAACTTTTATTAAAATAGTTGTGACCAAATTAGTCCCCCTTTTGATATTCATCGTGATTCGGTTTAAGCATCTTTAAATTTCAGACGTTAAGTGAGTGTTGATTAAGTGTTTAAGGTACAAGAGACATTCGTTCAAGCTAAGGAGCACACCTTAGAAAAATCGCTCTTTTCTTGGCTTAGAAGATCTTAAATCCCTTGATGTAGTTTGAGC